CTCTACTCGCCTCTGGTTAGGCCTCAGCTGGAGTATTGTTTGCAGTTCTGGGCACCGCATTTCAAGAAAGATGTGGAGAAATTGGAACGGGTCCAGAGAAGAGCAACAAGAATGATTAAAGGTCTTGAGAACATGACCTATGAAGGAAGGCTGATGGAATTGGGTTTTTTTAGTTTGGAAAAGAGAAGACTGAGAGGGGACATGATAGCAATTTTCAGGTATCTAAAAGGGTGTCATAAGGAGGAGGGAGAAAACTTGTTCACCTTAGCCTCTAAGGATAAAACAAGAAGCAATGGGCTTAAACTGCAGCAAGGGAGGTCTAGGTTGGACATTAGGAAAAAGTCTGGAATAAATTGTCTAGGGAGGTTGTGGAATCTCCATCTCTGGAGATATTTAAGAGTAGGTTAGATAAATGTCTATCAGGGATGGTCTAGACATGAGGGCAGGGGACTGGACTCAATGACCTCTCGAGGTCCCTTCCAGTCCTAGAATCTATGCAAGTATTTCAGGATCCCCACCACCTCATAAGTCTCATAGTGCTATCTCAAGGGCTTGTATCCACATTGAAACACCTTCTGGTATTTAGAGTTTCCAGTGTTGCACCTAGGGCAATGGCTGATCTTGCTTTAGCTTGGTGTGGAACTTCCTCACTCAAACTATCTTCCTCAGTTCATCCCTAATTAATTAAAAAAAAACCCAAACACCTAAAAGCTCACTTTTTCCAGATGTTTTTTCTCTATCAGTCTGTCCCTCTGAAGAACTTACCTTTTTATTATTTTATTCATCTGTTTTTATCTAGATTCATTATACTGTGGTTAATTTATTTACCACCCTGAGCAATTTGCCAGATGGCTGAAATACTTTCTAAACATTATAAAACTATTTATAAACAAATTCATGATCACATTATCCTTTCCAAACTGGCCAGCCTGAGAACATTTAGTGTTGTTTTGGATGAGAGAAAGTAAAAAGGACATTTCTGACTGAGATACAATGTTCAGAAATCAAATGGTTATAGTTTGATTGTGCTCTTAACAAGACTTTAACCTTAAACCTTTTTAATCTGATTTCAAATCCAGTAAGCACATTATCTAGTGTTTGTGAACACATATGATTATTTAACTAATATGTGTATGTAGTTATTGTTAAGACTATACAGTTTAGCATATTTCACAACAAATTTTCTGCTACTAAAAGTAATACATGAGGGAATGACCTTTAATAGCACTTCACACTTATTAAAATACAAATTGTTCGAGGTAGGGAGATGCTACTACATGGAATGAATGAATTTCTATCATAAAAGATACAAGAGAAAAATCAACCTGTTTAGGAAATATTCTCAGAAAGCTTTTGTACGGGCAGCCACTTACGGTTGAATAAATGTCTTGGGTGAGGAGTTAAGAGGTATTTGCATAGATTGTAATTATGTGCACTAATGTGTGTTCAAAAGCAATACCAGTAGAAATGTATGTTGTTTAGATATTCATATTAATCTCTCAGGTGCACATTAGAATAAAGTTTAAAATATTTTATATAAAGGATGGAAAAGGAAATTAAATTCAGTTTTGTTTATTTTTCCCCCTCTGCAGATATTTTTAAATGCAGATATAATCCGACTGGGAAATCTACCAATGGGTTCCTTTTCATCTTCCCCATCTAGTTCCTCAACTCCTCGACAGACTATCTATGAGCTCTGCGTTTGTCCCAATGGTAAACTGTACCTTTCCCCGGCAGGAGCAGGCTCTACTTGTCAATCCACTAGCAACATCTGTTTGTGGAGCTGAAATGACTCCGGTTTCTCCTCACACCAGAATAGCCTTTTGTTACTGTCCCTCTGCTTCACAGTTCTGCTCGGTTTCCCTTATGACAAGTTTGAAGCTTCAAATGGCCTGCAGAGCAACTTCTTCCAGTGTAAGCAGGAATACAACGCTGCCTTCTCTTGTGGCTCATGTTACCACTCAACGTAGAGATGGGAGTGAGATATTCAAAAATAAATGTAATCTTCATCAGGAAACCTGGATCATAATATCATCTTTTGTCCAAAAGGGAGAATAACACAGGTGCCTTTGCTACGTGAAGTGAAGCACATAGTTTTAGTTTTATGCAGGACCTGGATATGAACTGCACACATATATACAGTACTTATACAAATTTGCCCAGAATCCAATCGTGAGATGAATAGGTAACCCCTGTATGATAATTAACTTTACTGTCTGAAAGCACAATTTTCCATTCATCTTTTTGGATGTACACTTTTATCCCTGAATTTTAAAATTTTGAAGCATTGTGTGATGCTTGCTTTACTAAACAATTAAAATTCAGTACATGGTTTTTAACAAAAAAAAAAAAAAGAACAGAATCCCTCTGAGTTTTGTTTCTTTAAAACAAATGTGTTGTTACTCTGTCTCCTAAGTCTAGGGTTTTGTATGTTTAGGTAAATTTTGCAAGCACTCAGCAATATTAAATTTCCAGAGTTCAAAACACATCAACTCTTGTTTTGTCAGATCTGAATAGCCTTACACAGTTATTAGTGGGTTATTGCACATGAAGTGATTGCTTTAAGTAAAACATTCAGTTCTGGAAAAGAACAGGATAAAGAGGGAAATACTGATGATATGAAGCTGTCTGATCAAATAGGTATTTTTCAGAAGACCTTTATGATTGGCAAAAAAAGACACACTCTTCAAAGGTATATCTTGTCCATTTTATAGCATTTATAGCTTGTCTATCCGCTGCCATTTGAACATAATACAAACACATAATACTAATGTAATGCATAACACCAAGAAGCAATTCATTTACAACTGGAATGGCACCCTCAGATTTATTATCCTTTTTTCTTTTGTCATCTGCTATTAAGGTTTTTAAAGTGATAGCATTAAAAATCCATGAGCAAATATGAAATGACATAGAATATTAACAAGTACATTGACATTGTGTTGACTCCACCAGGTCTGTGTTTAGATAAAGCTATCATAGTTCCCCTCAGCTTTCCATAGTAACTCTCTTTTTGACTAGCTTGACCTGGGAACTTAGTTCTCTTCCATTTTTCATTACCTTTTTTTTTTTAGTAATTGAGCTCCTGCAAAAGACACTTTGGTATGTTGTTGATAAATTTGTCTCACTGCTGCTTAACAAGAGTATCTTGAAACTTGCAGAATCCAGGAATGTAAAACAGATAAAAAATGTTTCCTATTGTGGGAAGATGACTTGATAACAATAAGGTAAGTGTGCTTTTAAATATTATCTTTTCAGTTATCCCACCCAGCTCATAGTTTTAGCTGTGTCTAACTATAAGAACACCAATGCAATGACTAGCTCTCAAATTAACTCTGAAGTCAGGGAAAGTAGTATTAGAGGGGTAGAAAATAAAAAGTGAAACTTGGCAACCATAAAAATGTGATTAATTTTCTATTTTAGTGTCATCTATAGGATTTATTTTGTTCACTACAGGTGACATTCACCCTTATGCAGAAGACCAGCACAAGGTCTGTACACTGCTTCACAGGTACTTGGCCTTGTTCTAGTCTTATGTGTAGGGATGAATTGCACTGAAAAGGAAGAACTATCCCCTCTGCTACTACATAGTCAAACAAGGATTTTAATTAGACTACTTCATTTGCTCAGATTCTTCAGCTGTTAACTATTGAGTTAAAGTATTTGTTTTGAGACTTTAATTCCTTGTCTTTAATAAAGAAAAATATTTCTGTTATTAGTCATTTGTTTTCCTTTTTCTATAAGCTCATTCTCTGCAATACAAGAAATAAAGAATTGTAGCATTGCAAGAAAACTGTAGGAACTGTCAATGTATACTTGACCTTCAAACAACCTTATGAGGAAAGAGATATCTTTCATTTGGGCACATAGCTAACAGAATGTATGTGTAAAACTCATCAGGACAAATGATATTCCAGGGAGAGGAGGACACCACTGAATGAGTGTGTGTGTCTGAGCTCATACATTCCATCACCTGTGCCCAAGTGTGTATGCTGGTAATTTAAAAGATGGGCAAAAATTGCAGAGAATCATTGATTCAGTGAATTTAACCTTTTGTGCTGTTCTCAAAGTGTTTGTGAACAGACTGAATATTTCTTTGCTGTTTAAAGTGCATTGCAGAATGTTTGTGCAAACAATGTCAGCCTGTGGGAACCGCTTGCAATAGTTTGCTGAGTATTCCCTTGAGTATTCTCCATTCATGATATTTGAACTGTATGACTGGTCACCTGAATCATATGGTAGAGTTTTGGTTCCCTGGCTGAATGACCTAACTTGTATAAACTACTTCTACTTCTGCGTGAACTGAAATTCATTACATTGCAAAAACAAATTGAATTATGTGATGAGATTAATTTTGGCTACAAGACTGAATTCATTTTCCACTAGCATTTGTATGTTCAGTGTTGCCAACTCTTGCCAATGTTAATGTGAGTCTTGTGAAATTAGACATTTTACTTTAAACCCCAGCTCATGGAAACAAGTGAATATGTAAGAATCTCAGCATTCATTTAAAAAAAAAGTAAGTTTCTAGCTCTCAAGGTTATGGAGAAAAGCTTAAAAATGTGACCCATTTTTTTTTTAAAGGCAGAAGGAAAATAACAAGAATGGCGTAAATTTTTTTTCCTATCTCATGATTTTTGTGGCCTGACTCATGAATTTTGAATGTTTGAGTTGGCAGTACTGAAAACCTTATTTACAAGTTCCTAAAATGCTTTAAATTAATGTTTCTCCCTGTTTCCCAGTTCAACTGGTGATAATGCTAAAAAAAATGCAAAGTTGCACATACCCATGTATTTAGTTTTCGATGAAGGGCAAGTGGATGCTCTCAGCAAATAGATCACACAGAAACAGGGAGTGATATCACTACATTTCAACTATTGATTTTATGAAGTTGAGGTGTAAATTAAAGGAGTCCACATGTTCAAAACCGAAGGATGTTTTTTATTGCTGTCCTTGCCACCTGTCACCTTGCTGCCTTGCCTAGTCTCTTGGTGTCTTAAATGTTTTTATGGCCATTTATACTAGCTACCATTTTGCTCATGATAAAGCAACTGCAACCCTTTACCCAATTAGTTTGCTTGACTGGCTGAATGTTCCGATACCCCTCTTTAGAAAAGGTATGAGCCTTCTTGTCATGGCTAAGGCAACACCTTCCCAATTTCCAGGTCATTGCATTGTGACAGATGTAAGGCAGGGGTGAGAGTCCCAAAAGCATTTTTAAACCTTTTTTCTTTTAAATTAGTAAATGTCCAATTTGGAAAATAATACCTGGGGCTAAAAAAAAATCCTCCAAGGTGCTTTATAATATATGAATACATGTATCACATACTGCCTCTTTTTATTAGCCTGTTAGCTTGGGCACTACTGAAGTGGTTTTATAGTTGGCTGACCCCCTCAGAATTGCTCATATGGCCACAATGAAATATAAAAAAGACCTTGTTAGCTACATGTATTAATATATATTATAGTATAATATGTTGTAAAAATGTCCCTGTTATAATAGAAAAGGATACTGTCTCTTTCTTGTTTAAAAAAAAATAAAAAAATTAGAATGACCTCTTTGAGCACTGTTACCTGTATGGTTTTGTACTGCAGTTCATTCACTGGTTAAATGTTAAAGACCAAAGACTGACACTTCTAATAGTATGACAGGATGCTTCCACTTATTCTGTTGGAAGGAAGAGAGGAGAAGTTGTAATTACAACATGAAATGGTAATGTACTTTTGCTCTGTGCAGCATTTTGAGCTGTAGATTTTTTTTTTCCAGAGGGATAGTGTGTCAGTGTTGTCCAATTACATTGTTTTTTAGACATAACCATATCTTTCACTGATTATGAGATCATGAAAAGAGGAAAGAATGTGTATTCCAAAATGTGCCAAAAAGTTGCTTACTTCAACTGAATTTATAATTTACATTGTTTTGCTTGCACAGTGGTTTAACTGGATAACACAATTCACTTTAGACCAATTTAGAAACAGAGGGCTATTTAGTATGGATTGAAGAAAGAGCCATAGGGACTGAAAGAAGTTGATGATGGATGTTAAGGATATTCAGCTGTAATAACTTGTGATATTTTTAGGGTTTCTAAATCATTGCCTACATGTTAACAAAATAAAAGCCAAACTTAGAATATTGGAGTTATCAGCTGATTCACTGTAATGCAGATGCAAACTGGGTAAGAATTTGAGTGTTGTATTGTTTAAAACCATACTTCAAAAAAGGTCTGCTAACCATTTTTTGTTTTGTTTTGTAACTATCATGTTAATGTTTTTTCTTGTGTGTATAGATATATAAAAAGATGAAAATATTTTCTTAAACATACTATGCAATGTTTGTAAAATTGCAATATTACCAAAATTACAAAAGCTGTGCTTTTGTACTCTCTTGCTGTATGTAAAACAAATCTTTTTCTATTTAAATGGATTGTTTGTCCTATAAATTGTAGATAACATATTTAGTCAAAAGCAGTATACTGTATATTCAAGATTTTTTTGTTTGGTTTGTTTTTTTAGTGATATATAACAGCAAGGTTTTGGAAGTTGGAAATTACTTTTGTTGAAAAGGTGGAAGTTCTGCAGCATGTAATTAACACATAGAATTTACAATATGTACTGTACTTTGTATTTGGTCTTAGTATTTTCATCTGGTGCTACTGTATAACCACAATGTGATAGATTAAATAGGAAAACAATGAACAGAATTCATTCAGGATGATCAGATGTCACCGGGAGACTAGAAATGTTAGTACTGAAGAGAAACCAGTTTTTTGTGAGTAGCACATTTCCTATCTATTTTGTCTAAATTTGCAATTTGGTAATAATTTTTCTTGGTTCAATCTAATTTTCTTAACTACATACAAAACAGAGACTGCTAGAGATTGTTTTGAATTTTTTTTTAAACCACCACCAACACATTTAGATTGACTACTTTGCAGACATTCCAACCTGCAAAATGCATGGATTTTATTTTCATGCCAAGCTCGGAGAAGTTAAAACTAAGAGCATGATTCTAATTTATACAAAGGCCACTTTGCACCACTCTTTTGAAGAAAAGGATCCTTAAAGTCAACATAAATTATATTTGTACCTACTTAGACCCCCTTAACCTTAGAGCTGGTTGGAAATGTTTTAGGTGAAATGTTTTTTAATTTAAAAGTCCTGTGGTGTTGAAAGCACGACTATTTGTGAAAATGGGTCAGTTTCAACGAATCTCCCAGCTAAAAATATTCTTGAAAAAAGTATTTTTAAGATGTTTCATTTAAATGCTTTTGAAACAAAAAAAATCAGTTTTTCCAGTTTTACTTTTTGTTTCAAAATTTAAGTTAATTAGACTGAAAAAAAGTTAAAAGAGAGAAAAGCAGGTTGAAATTTAAATGAAATATTTCAAAATGATCAGAGCAAAATTTTTCAATGGACTTGAACAAAACAATAGTTTGGCTTTTCAGTTCACACAAATGTTTGAGATTTTGATTTTTTGTCCCAATCTAGGACAAGAAAAAATGATGAACTCTTGAAAATATTATCTGGATGGAAAACCATTTCCACTTTACACTGTCAGAGTGGTGTAAAGTGGCCTTAATGTAAGTGTGAATCAGGCCTGTGTTGACTAATTCAAAAATACCAATGCAGTATTCAATAAAACAAAAATATTCTGACCCATTCTATGCAGGTTTGAATTAGTCATTCCCATCCCACTAAACCTGTATAAGTAAGTATAATTTTATATACTCTTCTAATTTTAAGAGCGAATCTACACAGACCACCAACCCATGAAAATTGAACTGATCATTAGAAACTGTTTTGTCTAAAATAAGAACTCACCTGAAACTTTGCTTAGGCCTTGAGCTGAACCCAAATTACATGTTTTTGACATTTTGTTTTTTTTAAATCACCACGCATCTGCACAGTTTGTGCCTTGGGCCAGGACTGGAAGGGAAAGTGCTGGACTACCCTGAAGAAATCATGTACTCTATATCTGGTCAGACCACATCAGGAAGTACCAGATATAGAATCACAGAACTGGAAGGGACCTCAAGAGCTCATCTAGTCCAGTCTCCTGCACTCAAGGCAGGACTAAGTATTATCTAGACCATCCCTGACAGGTGTTTGTCCAACCTACTCTTAAAAATCCCCAGTGATGGAGATTCCACAACCCCCCTAAGCAACTTATTCCAGTGCTTAACCACTTTGACAGTTAGGAAGTTTTTCCCAATGTCAACCTAAACTCTGTTGCTGCAATTTAAGCCCATTGCTGCTTGTCCTATCCTCAGAGGTTAAGAAGAAAAAAATTTCTCCCTCCTCCTTGCAACAACCGTTCATGTACCACAACTAAGCTTGTTCCACATAAATGAGACAGAAACCATTATTAGACCAATAAGATTATGAGAAGCAGCCAAACTTTAGATGCTTCTCTGAGCATCTGACCCTTTTGAGGCTGTACCTCAGAAAAGAGGTAAATAGGCTTTAGAAGCTGTTTTCAGAGAAAAAACAATGGGCCTTTTTTCTGGCCATGCTACAATTGGCACAGGACCTCAGGTGGGGAGCAAAGGTCTCTTTACATCACATATACAACTCCTTGATTCTGGGACCAGCTCAGATTCTGGCATAAACCAGCAGCATTAAACAATATTAGATGTAAATTAGAGTTACTATTTCAGCTGCCAGAGATAGCCAAAGTACAGTTACTGCACTGGGTGTGCCCCCTATGCTGTCAGCTATGTTGGGAGGAGGGTTAGAATATTTTCCACCACTTGGAGAGTTCCCCATGCCAGGGAGTCTGGCCCAGTGAAACACTTCTAAGTTTTCTGTTTTGTGATGTGTGCACTTTTCCTGCTAAATCAAATGTATCTTTGATAGTCTCATCCTAAGTACTATAGTAATTCACTAGAAGGCAAATCCTCACCCTGCATTCCATAGGTCTAGGTAGCCCCCATATGTGAGAACAGGTGCACTTAGTCACAAGATTTCACCAATGTTTTAGGGCCAAATATGAGTTAGTGGGAGGTGTATCTTAGTGAGTATTGCCGGGCCAGGAAACTTTATTCTGTCAAAAAAGATAATTGTTTGATCAGTGGAAATGACTGGTATATACATTCAGGAAAATAAAAATACAGGAAAGTGTCAAAATTAGTTCAACCTATTGTAGGGAGAGTTTTGGGATTATCCAGCTCCCCATAATGTTTTCTACTTAAAATGCCTTTAAAAAAAATCACGAAAAAAGATTTAAAGAAAAGTATCAAAGAAATAAATAACAAAATATTCTATATTATTAACAGTATATATCTGCATTGTATACAAGTATAATAGAGAAGTTACTAGTGTGCTAATAATTTATGCTTCTATATTGTATTAATAACTTTATTACAAACCTAAATTTAGCCAGTACTGCTTACAATATTAAATAACAGCAAACAAAATATTATTTCTTTGATACAGCATTCTGTATCAAACAAGGAAGAATTAGTAGGGGAAGAAAAAGTGGATGGGAAGCTGGGAGGCAGACACCAGGAGAGGGTCGAGTTCAGGATCCTGACACAAGGAAGAAAGGAGAGCAGCAGAATATGGACCCCGGACTTCAAAAAAGCAGACTTTGACTCCCTCAGGGAACTGATGGGCAGGATCACCTGGGAGAATAACATGAGGGGTAAAGGAGTCCAGGAGAGTTGGCTGCATTTTAAAGAATCCTTATTGAGGTTGAAGGAACAAACCATCCCCATATATAGAAAGAATAGTAAATATGGCAGGCGACCAGCTTGGCTTAACAGTGAAATCCTTGCTGATCTTAAACACAAAAAAGAAGCTTACAAGAAGTGGAAGCTTGGACAAATGACCAGGGAGGAGTATAAAAATATTGCTCAGGCATGCAGGAGTGAAATCAGGAAGGCCAAATCACACTTGGAGTTGCAGCTAGCAAGGGATGTTAAGAGTAACAAGAAGGGTTTCTTCAGGTATGTTAGCAACAAGAAGAAGGTCAAAGAAAGTGTGGGACCCTTACTGAATGGGGGAGGCAAACTAGTGACAGAGGGTGTGGAAAAAGCTTTTTTTGTGTCTGTTTTCACGAACAAGGTCAGCTCTCGGACTACTGCACTGGGCAGCACAGTATGGGGAGAAGGTGATCAGCCCTCTGTGGAGAAAGAAGTGGTTCAGGACTATTTAGAAAAGCTGGATGAGTACAAGTCCATGGGGTCGAATACACTGCATCCAAGGGTGCTAAAGGAGTTGGCAGATGTGATTGCAGATCCATTGTCCATTATCTTTGAAAACTCCTGGTGATTGGGAGTGGTCCTGGATGACTGGGAAAAAGCTAATGTAGTGCCCACCTTTAAAAAAGGGAAGAAGGAGGATCCGGGAAACTACAGGCCAGTCAGCCTCACCTCAGTCCCTGGAAAAATCATGGAGCAGGTCCTCAAGGAATCAATTTTGATGCACTTAGTGGAGAGGAAAGTGATCAGGAACAGTCAGCATGGATTCACCAAGGGCAAATCATGCCTGACTAACATAATTACCGTCTATGATGAGATAACTGGCTCTGTGGATAAGGGGAAAGCAGTGGATGTGTTATTCCTTGACTTTAGCAAAGCTTTTGATATGGTCTCCCACAATATTTTTGCCAGTAAGTTAAAGAAGCATGGACTGGATCAATGGACTATAAGGTGGATAGAAAGCTGGCTAGATCATCAGGCTCAACGGGTAGTGATCAATGGCTCCATGTCTAGTTGGCAGCCAGTATCAAGTGGAGTGCCCCAAGGGTCGGTCCTGGGGCCGGTTTTGTTCAATATCTTCATTAATGATCTGGAGGATGGCATAGATTGCACCCTCAGCAAGTTTGCAGATGACACTAAACTGGGAGGAGTGATAGATACGCTGGAGGGTAGGGATAGGATACAGAGGGACCTAGACAAATTAGAGGATTGGGCCAAAAGAAATCTGATGAGGTTCAACAAGGACAAGTGCAGAGTCCTGCTCTTAGGACAGAAGAATCCCATGCATTTTTATAGATTAGGGACTGAGTGGCTAGGCAGCAGTTCCGCAGAAAAGGACCTAGGGGTTACAGTGGACGAGAAGCTGTATCTGGGTCAACAGTGTGCCCTTGTTGCCAAGAAGGCTAACGGCATATTGGGCTGTATAAGTAGAAGCATTGCCAGCAGATTGAGGGACGTGATCATTCCCCTCTATTTGGCATTGGTGAGGCCTCACCTGGAGTACTGTGTCCAGTTTTGGGCTCCACACTACAAGAAGGATGTGGAAAAATTGGGAAAAGAGTCCGCAGAAGGCAACAAAAATGATTAGGGGGCTGGAGCACATAACCTATGAGCAGAGGCTGCGGGAACTGGGATTATTTAGTCTGCAGAAGAGAAGAATGAGGGGGGATTTGATAGCTGCTTTCAACTACATGAAAGGGGGTTCCAAAGAGGATGGATCTAGACTGTTCTCAGTGGTACCAGTGGACAGAACAAGGAGTAATGGTCTCAAGTTACAGTGGGGGAGGTTTAGTTTGGATATTAGGAAAAGCTTTTTCACTAGGAGAGTGGTGAAGCACTGGAATGGGTTACCTAGGGAGGTGGTGGAATCTCCTTCCTTAGAGGTTTTTAAGGTCAGGCTTGACAAAGCCCTGGCTGGGATGATTTAGTTGGGGATTGGTCCTGCTTTGAGCAGGGGGTTGGACTGGATGACCTCCTGAGGTCCCTTCCAACCCTGATATTCTATGATTCACATATCCCATATAAATTAAGGTTCTTCCGTTGCAGTGATTTCTTCTGTACTTTTCAGTATTTTGTAGTGCTTCTTTGAGATCTGCTGCTGAAAAGTGCTATATAAGAGCCAGATATTATTATTATTATTATTTATTTTATTATTGTTATTTATTTATTATTATTATTCTCAGAATAGCTCAGATACTTATTTGGATTCCATTGACAAATATTCCAGAGTATGTAAGGAAGGAATGCCAAAGGCAGACTGACAAGGCCTAGTAGAAACATTGCCATAAAGGTAGATAGTCAAGATTCTATCAGCTGCTGTGCCCATCAAAATATTTGATACCACTGGCAAAATTCACTTCTGGCCATGACACTGTCACTGAAGTTGTGCCTGCTTGTCCCAGAAGTGACTCAGATCTTATATATTGAAAGAATAGGGAGCAGATATTGACCATTTTATTTAATTTTTGGAGGGCAGTAATTATTCTCAGACAGTACATCAAAAGTGGCTCTCCCAAGTGTGCACAATATTAATGCAGCTGAAAACGTGCTTATTTCTTTCATGGATGAAAATAGTC